TTAACCTTTCGACATATTTTTTAAAAAATTCCAATGTTCTTAGTTTCATCATTAGATATTGATTCGGGTGCTACATAAAAACAGCTTCGTAGTAACTCATGAAAGAGATTCAGATCTACAAAGTTCCATTATTAACATACCTAAATTTGATTAGCATCTCCTAGTCCTCATTTTGTTGACACAATTCAACTGATAAATATGAACAAGATTAGTCTAAACAAAGTACAGACTGAGTATCTCTTATCAGAAATGCCTGGGACCAGAAGTGTTATAGATTTCAAATTTTTTCAGATTTGGGGATATTTGCATATACACAATGAGATATCTGGGGATGGAACCCAAGTCTAAATATGAAGTTCATTTGTTTCATATATGCCTTATATACATAGCCTGAGTATAATTTTATACAATATTTTAAATAATTTTGTGCATGAAACAAAGATAGGGCATTTTTACTGCAACCCATCACATAAGGTCAGGTATGGAATTTTCCACTTGTGGCCTCATGTTGGCACTCCAAAAATTTTGGATTTTTAAGCATTTCAGATTTCTGATTTTCAAATTAGGGATGCTCAACCTGTACTAGGACTATGGACCACTTTCATAACTCATATTGCTATTTGTTACTTGCTAACAGAATTTTCATAGACTTTGGGCCCAATGAATCAATTAATATGAACATTAGCAGAAAGATGTGTCTATATGAAACAATGTCTAAAAAAGTACTCCGTTAAGTGCCTGGCATACAGTTAAGTGTTCAACAATTATTAAATAGATGTAAATGATATATGATTATCACCATTGTCATATTAGACTTGAATGCACCTTTCTGCATATTTGGAAACCTGTGTATCTCTGCTAAGTACAGATGTGACAGTAAAATATTTGTCAAGAGTTCATTATCAAGTCTACTTGCTTTTAGATTTAAACTTTATTTCAGTGATTATAAATACAAAATAGTTTTATTCCAGATTTGAGGTAATCCAGCACATCCCACACTTAACCAATGATAAATATAATAAACTGGATCTTTCCATTTACTTAATAGCAACTTTACTGAGCTACTAAACTGTAAAATTTAGTTTCATAATGAAACCACTTAAGTTGGTCATATAACATAGTAATAAAATCCAGAAATACTTTTCTTTAGCAAGTTTAGAAATAGGATTTCATTTGCCTCCAAAGGACATAGCATAGTATCACCATCACTGATTAAATTCTTTCCATATGCACAGAAACTAAAGAAAATAAACAGCTCAATTTTTATTCCTAAAACAAATTATTTAATCCATTTCAAGTATTTCCCATAGTCATAACTTGATTTTTAAAATAATTCACAAACCTGATCTAAATCACTGAAGTTTATCCGCTGTTTAAGTTTCTCTAATTCTGCCTGCTCTGGGACAGACATCTGAGTCATATATCTACTGTGTGGAAACGTATGTGGAGTCTTTGTTCTTCGCCTTCCAACTCCTGGTGATGACTCCGGAGAAATATCATTAGTTACCCTTTTATCACTTTCTACACCAAACTTTTTCTTATTCTTTTCTGATGATCTATTTGCTTTCTTCTGTTGGCCACTCCAATCCTTTAAAAAAGTAAAAGCACAAGTTGATCTGGCCTCTATCAAACCAGGAAAATAATTTGGTATGCTTAAAAAATTTTGGTCTTAAAATTAAAAATGACAAAACATTTTTCACGTTAAGTATATATGCTTAGAGACAATTATTTACTTCTATTAACCCATTTTTCCCTCATTACATTTATCCTAATTTTATAGCCTATCCTTTAGAAATAGATTACTTTCCTATCATAGATCATTAATAAATACAAATCCCCAAATCCCAACGCTACAGTCAATTTGAATATTTTCAAAGGCGTATTTAAAAATTATTCTTTCCTCTTTATAAATTGAAAAGCGAAATAAATTGTACATACCTTTACTGGCCACCCTTAGCTTTAAGTCAGTATGTATAGTAAAAAGGATACCGATCCAGAATCAACCTGGGTTCTAAAGTGATTACTGTTTACTGAAGAAACACTCCATTGTGTGACCCTAGTTTACTTAACTTCCCATAGTCTCAATTTCCTAATCTCTAAAATAGTGTCACCTTTAAAATAGGATTAAAACATACATAAAACATCTAGCTTAGTATTTAGTGTCTAGCATTTAGTAAGCATTAAACATGGCTATTATTATTTTATAGGCAAAAATGTACTACATGATAATATCTAATATGGAATGACAAAGAGTACTTACTGTCTTAACTAGAAAACATCTTTATTAACTTGGCTATAGCCACATAATCTAATTCATTCAATGAAAAGGTCTATAATTCCTACGTTATCCATACTGGAAGAGAATCTTTTAGTTACTGCTATAGTAGAGCCACTTGGGATATTTTTCTTATTTATAACAAAATTCCCTTCTCTATGAACTGTCTCTCCACCCAATCCATGAGTGGGTGGCTCCTGCCAACCTTTCATACTATTTAATCCATCCCTATCCTGGCCATAGATTATTGGAAAAAGAAATGCATATATAATCTAAATTGGGATAATCATACTTTAAAATTTAAAATTGGAACTAGGAGATAACCAGTCAGTATTTTTAATAGCAGCCAAAGCTGAAAACTTGAGAATGATGGGACAGCCACAGTACAGCATGTGGACCAGAGGAGGAGAGAAAGCTGGTCTGTGAAGAGAAAGTTGTGTTAGGCAGAGGCACTCAGAAGCAGAGTTAGGCTAGTGAAAAAGTAATTCCTGACAACTTTCTAGTTCCTTTTTCCAGTCCCTTCCTAAAACCCAGCTGTATTCCTTTAACATGGTTTCCATAAAACACCTTTATATCCTTTTAATAAATCTGCTTTTTTGGTTTAAGCTAACTCAAGTTGATTTCTGTTTCCTGCAACCAAAGTGTTTTCAACTAATATAATGTATAGCCCAGTGTCCCTTAATATCTTGGCCAGCAAGTATTTACAAAGAGTTTCAGTGAGTTAGATTTGGTCAGGGGAAAGCTGCATTTTAATACTAGTGGTCAGCAATACACCATCAATAGTAAAATATCATACCATATTGTTGAGTCGGTCATCAACACTTTCATTGCTCCAGTTTGGTAAATCCGGATCATTCATGCTGTCTTCAAAAGGACCTCCTCCTGTGGCCATACTGGCTGTAACAATTCTCTGTGAAACAAGTAAAAACTGGTTTTTAACACACAAAAACAAACTTCAATTTTTAAGTCATTCCATGAAGTTTAGCAATATAAAGGAATCTCTAAAATGCTGATTTTATAACTACAAAGAGGCACGCTAAACCACACATCACAAATTGATTAGCTGCTATCGATGTACTATATTAACATGAGTTAAGTAGCTAGAGTGATGGAGAAGGGAAGGAAAACTTCTGAATACATACTATGTACGTTGGCCTGCATGCTGTAAGATTACTTAGTTTATCCAACACATTCTTAAAAGGTAGAGCAATGAGGTAAGAAGGAAATTATATACAGCTAGAACCAGAACTTCTCTTAGGAAAGAAATACAGTATCTCTGTTTTGACAATGACCTTGGTATAAAGGTCATACCCTAAGGACATGGGCATTAGTTTTGTGCCAAAGATTCAAAAAGGGTAGACCTGCTCTGCATGAAACAAAGAGAACGTTTTGATTTTAATAGGAAGGAAGGTACACCAGAATGGCAAAAAGATGATGAGAAGGTGGAGAGAGAGAAGCAGGACTGGGTGGGGCAAATGGCCAATATAATCCAAGAATGCAGTGGCTAAAAGACATTTTAAGAATAGTGATGCTTATTGCCCTACTTTAATTTGCATTACTGCTATCTCATAGCCATCCCTAAATCTTGGTAAAGACTACCAAACTCAAATGTTCCCCACAAAAAATAAGTGGGATTTTTGTTCATGTATATGAAAAATCAAGAAAGGGGCTGAATTTCATACCTGAGTCAAAGAGATGAAAAACAGAAGCAGCAATGGTGGAAGCAGAGGTTCAGTGCAGAGATGGTCATGAAAAAATAAGATTTCTACACAATCTTATGGAAAACTTTGGATTTCCACTAGCTGTGGATTTGTACAGGTTGAACGGGTGTAGGTGAAGGAGGAGAGGTTGAGATAATTTTATCTAAAATTCAAAGGGCAGGTAAAGCCATTAAACTACAAACAAAAATGCTAACATTCCAAAGAGATACTTTTGCCGAGGTCATTCAGCTAAAAATGGCAAAAAGAAATACAAATTGTTGCTCTGATTCTAAGATCCTAACTGATCCCATTAACTACAGAATCCCAGTGGGATTCTTCTTGAAACTTGACAAAATGATTCTAAAATTCATCTGGAAGAATAAATAAGTGAGAAAAAAGTTTTTAACATCTTAAAAATAAAACCAAGAGTAGCAATAGAGGTCAGGAGGATAGAAGAACTAATCCAAGTTTCAACCACGCTGTCCAAATGGTTAAATTAGTACCAGCCCAAGAACAAAAATTCTCCAATATACCCAACAGCAATATTTAAAAGTTAATCACAGGTAACATTTATTTTGCTTACTATTACATATATGCTAATCACTACATTAAATATTTTATGTCCATATCATTTAATTCTCACAATTCCATGATGTGGAGTGTTCAATTGATGGGGCAATTTACTAACAATTTTGAAAAATGTTTATTTAGAGCTTTAACAGTTTTTCCTTAACTATTAACAGTATTCTTCATTTCAATCACAGAACACAGAAAAATGATCTGAGTCATTATTTTCTCAATTCTGCCAGGGACAGTATATCTAGTACCATCTCAGACACACAGAAGTTAATTCACATTAAACAACAGATGCCTTAGAGCATTAAAACTTAATTCTCTCCCAATTGAGAAAGGCTGCCTTATAACACCAAAAGAGTGAGCAAATTAAAAATAGATATGATCTTTAAATATCAAATAAGCTTTAAAAAAGACAAACAAGCAAATAGAATGGACTTACTAAAGACTTACTTTAGTAAGAACAGAGATCTTACTAAATTTAGAACATAAAGAAAGAAAAAGTTCAACAGATTTTGTTCACATAAAAGTAAACAAACAGTAAATGACAAACTGGGGGAAAAAAATCTGAAAGAAATACAAAGTACACAGTCAATATAGAACATGAAAGAAAAAGTTCAACAGATTTTGTTCACATAAAAGTAAACAAACAGTAAATGACAAACTGGGGGAAAAAAATCTGAAAGAAATACAAACTACACAGTCAATACCTTTATCATATGAAGAACTTGTCTAAAAAAACAAGCAAAATAAGCTCAAACAAGCAATTTACAAAAAAAAACCTAGTAAATACAAAATAATAAGAATGTATAAAGTCCAGCTGCAATAAATATTCCCTTAAAATAAGGCAGTATTAAATTTGCTAAATTTCATATAAATTACATATTACCTAATCCTGATGACAGCAAAATGAAACTAGAACTCTCAGACACTATAGTAAGAACGTAAACTGGTAAGCATAACCTTTCTGGAAAGTATTTTGGCAATACTACATCAAGAACTAAAACTGAGTTCTTGACTAATTCCTTCTCTCCGTATCTAATCTAAGAAAAAAAACCTTAAATATGGGGGAGGAAAAACTATAATGAGTTGTTTATTATTCAATTGCGATAAATTGAAAAATAACTAAATGTCAAATGACAAGATGAATGCTACTAGGCAAACTGTCCTACACCCACGGGGCAGAATACTAAGTATTCTTCAAAACATTTAATTATGAAGGCTGGATAAATATTGCCTGTACTGATAATGTGGGAAAAATCATACAAGAGGGAAAAAAGCAATATGAAAATTGTATCTAGTTTTTTTTAAACAAAAAATTAAGAAAATATATCAAAATACTTTCATGAAAGCAATTATTAGGGTAGGAATGTGATGAGTCTTCCTCTTTTCTGTGTCTTACATTTTCAGCAATAGTTTACATTATTTTTATTCTAGAAATAATTTTAAAACTTTTTAAAAAATTAATACCCTTAGAGAGGTATGTTCAGTAAACTGAAACAACTCATTTAAATGAAACATTTCACAACTACTGTTCTCTAGATGTACTGACATAATATGTAACATTAAAGAAGTGAAAAAAATAAACATGCAACAAGTGATACCATACTTAAAAGTACTCAAAGCAAATTGTTTTAAAATGTAAATTAGGAAGGAAAATATATCGACATTCATAAGATTTCTCAAAGACAATAAATACCTCTCCCTGTAAGAGTTAGAAAATAATGGTAAGTCATTTCTCTTTTCTCCATGCTAACCACTCTAAACACCTGAAAGTCACCATTAAAAATACAGGATCTCTGCCTTCTAAATTTTATTCTTTAGGCACATTAATATAAACTAGTATTTAGAAGTACAGAAAGACTTCCAACAATCAAAAGACTAGGGATGTAGAGAAGATCAATTCAAGTAAGATTTCTGCAGCAGAATCAACAGAACTTGGTGACTATAGCTCCCCTTATCCTAAGCTTCACTTTCCAAAATTTCAGTTATCCGTGATTAATCATCACAAAATAGGTGAGTACAGTACAATATGATACTCTGAGACAGAAAGAAACCACATTCATTTAACTTTTATTACTATATGTTGTTTTAATTGTTCTATTTTATTATTAGTTATTATTGTTAATCTCTTCTGGGCCTAATTTATAAATTAAACTTTATCACAGGTATACACATACAGGAAAAAACATATATACAGAGTTCAGTACTATCTGTGGTTTCAGGCATCCACTGGGGGCGGGTCTTTGGAAGGTATCCCCCGTGGAAAAGGGCAGATTACTGTATTAGCATGTGGGAGATGAGGAACTAAGGAGTTAAAGGATGAGCCTGAGGTTTCTAGCAATTGGGTATGTGACGACACAGGCAAAATGATTAGAAAAGGAGCAAGTTGTTGAGAGAAGAGGATGATGAGTTCGGTTTTGGAAATGTTGGGTTTGAGATGCTTATGGTATATCCAATTACATTTTTCCAGTGGACAAATACTGATCTATCTCTCAAGAGAAATCTGGGCTGGAGAGAGACCTGCAATTCATTCACTCATAAAAGTACGTGAATGGCACAGAGGGCTCAGGGAGAAGACAAAAAGAGAAGATTAGATCTTAAAAGACACTGTATTAAAGAGAAAGGCACAGGAAAAGGACACTGAGGTGTAACAGAAAGACAGGAGGGAAACCAGGAGACTGTGCTAAGAGAAGAAAAGTGTATTGAGGAGGGTGTGATAAGAAACCAAATGTTACCTTGTCAAATAAGAGAAGTTATGAGAGATGTCCACTTGTATTTAGCAATAAGGTTACTGTTGACCTGGTAAGAAATTTCAGTAGAGCTGGTGAGGGTCAGTACCAAAAATGGAATGCATTATTGAGAGGAAGGGGAAAAAATAAAGGAACTCATCAGGTAACATTTTTAAGGAATCAGTCTACGAAGGGAAGCAAGCAGAGACGATCAAGAACAAAGTTTTATTAGAATGGAAGTATCTCGAGCATGTTTAAAATTTTTTGGGAAAGAGGGAGATACTAAAAATGCAGAAGAGGAAAGAGATAAGCAAATAGCATGTGGCGTATGAGAAAATGGAAGCCATTGGGATCCAGGGCAAAAGAAACATGATTGGCTTTAGACAGGAAGAGGAACACCTTTTTCACTGAAACAAAAGGAAAGAAAAAAAGGACGGAATGAATAGGTTAGAAGCTGGTTGGGAGATTTGGTAGCTGGAAGTTGAGGGAGTTCATAAGTGATATCAACTAGGAAGGACTGTCCATTAAATATGAGAGGGTGAGATGGCAGTGTCTGAGAGATCTGGGAAGAGCAGGGAACAGAGAATGACTATGGGCAGCACTAAGGACTCAGGTGAAACGAAAGACTATTCATTGGTATCACTAACATGCACTGCAGATATTTTTTTCCAGCAGTGCTCATAAGCCTCAATAAAACACTCCACTGAATCCACCCAAAGTTGGGATTTTGCCAGGCAGGTTTAATAGAAAGACAGTAAGACAAGAAAGCTGAAGCTATTAGAAAATGATGCAAGTGATGGATGATATAGAATGAGCAGCTGAATGGGGATAAAAATAAAATTCTTCTACTTTAAACAAGCACTTCCTTTCATACTTTGTCCTACTAAATGAAGCTGAAACTATAATCTGTAAGTCTCATTTAGCTATTTTTGACAGCCTTACTGGGATTCTTTACCTTATTTACAAAGATATAAAATGAAAACTCACTACAGCAATTTTAAGCTATTTTCAGTGATTGATCTTTTTGAAGAAAAACCCTGTTATAGGATTCTTACTATAAAGAAGTATTACATATGTCTATGTAGAATATCACTGTATTAATTACCATGATATGCCTATGACTAAAGTTTACCTTTGAAATAGGAACACAAGGTGAAGAAATTAAAAAAAAAAATCAAGGAATCAAAAAATTATTTTCCTAAAATCTTTAAACTTTAGATATTATTTCTCAAATGGCATTAAATGACTCAACCACATCTGGAAATATCTACTCAAGACAGTCTTGCATTTTTCTTGATAACAAGTAGCACATGATTTTATTTTCCCCTTCATTACCTGTTTTCATGACCTGAACATTTGCAATGATTTTTCTAAGACTTTGGTCTCAATTCCAATGTCTATCTCATCTTCTCTAATACTTTTTTTTCTACTCTGAACTGGTAATTTGTTCAAGATCCTAAACTTCTAAAATTCTTTTTTCTGATCATAAGTTCTTGCATTCTACTTCTCACTTCTCATTCCTGCTGAACCTACTGTTGGCCCTACTGCATATTACCATTCCCTTGATCAGTTCTCTCTCCCTGAATGCATTAATACCTTGCATCCTTACTGAAACCCAAACCCAAGTAAGTCATTCTTGACTTCCCCATCCATTCACCCAACTCAATTCTGGATAAACCCCACTACCTGCTTTTTCTGCTTCTACTCGCAAATTGTCAAAACAGTGGAGAAATAGTCATAAAATGGCATGAACTGTGTCCACTAATAAGGTATACTATACTACACACACGCACACACACACACACACACACGCACAAAAATACTTTCAAACTCTAAGTTTACTCCATGAGGTAAGGCACCTTGTCTGTCTCACTCATTGCCATATGTCTAGTACTTTACAGTCATTACACAGCACGTTGTAGACACTCAATTAAATTTGTAAAAATGAGGGTATCGCTATGTATCTCTTGTTGGCTTCTTACTGAATTCCCCAGTGTAATTATCCCACACCTTTTCTAGTTTTTTTATAAGTCTCAAATCCACTTGCCTCCTTCAGGAACGAATGGCCAAACCCCTATTGCAAAAACCCAGGTCTTCCAATGTGAGTTAACACAATTACTGTTTTTTTTATTCCTCTTACCCATCTTCTCTAATGTGCTAAAAGGAAAACTATCACTGATTTTACAATTCTATTTTACAATGCCTATTATACACCAATCACTCTAGTGTTAAAAACTCTCATATACACACTCACATTTGACCTTTCCCCTGAGTTTAATATTTCTTGTCCTATTTTGTTATAATGTTCCAGTTTAAAAAACAAACAAAAAAACCACTAAAACACTGAGAATTACAATTAAGATATAAATCAACTACCAATTTTTATTTTCTCATGATAGTCTCATTTCGGGTCCTCATAGGGGAGCTAAAAATCTGTCTGCTTTTGTAGAAAGCAAGATACATATTAAACAAATTTTGGAATGGATTTTCTCAAAATTTTAACAGTAAATTGAATTCAGATTCCTTCTGAGGTTTGTTTTTAAAAGAACACTTATTTCTAAATGCTTTTTATAAAATTTCTTCTCATTCTCACCCTTTAGTTATTTAATTTTTTTTCCCCCCAGCGATAAGGTCTCACTCTGTTGCCCAGGCTGGACTGCAGCGGTGTGATCACAGCTCACTGCAGCCTCAATCTCCTGGACTCATGGGATTCTCCCACCTCAGCCTCCCAAGCAGCTGGGAGAATATCTTTATATAACCAGCATATGACAATGTACTATGAACAAAAACTAATGTTTAAAGTAATTTTAGACCACTAAAAGAATACAGTTAAGGTATAACAGGTTCAAGAAGGAGTTCACGAATAAAAAATAAACAGCCAATTAATAAAAATTGTAGAAGAAAATAACTTTAGATTAAAAGGGTTTGGAAACAGAGGCTATTCGAAGAGTTGTTATACGACAAATTCAAACTCACATGGGCTGAAGAAATTCTGTGAAGACAAATTTCAAGAAGTACTGCATAAACCATTCTAGTGTTTAATAATTAGGAATGGTATGGCTCTTTTCTGAGAAAGGTGTGAAGGCAGACCAAAGTGGCACGCCAAAAAGCAGGCAAACAGGGTAGCAAACCCAGAACGTTTACTAAACAGAGAGGGTCCTCCATCGTGTACTGTTACTTTGATATTAATAGCAGTCTCCATCATAATCTCCTTCAACTATAATACAAAGGCCAATTATATATATAAAAAATGATGTCAAATTACCTGTTTAGAAACTAGTTTTTGCAGCTCAGAAACGGCTCCTTTCCTGCTCCACACTTCAAAGCTGTTGCCTGCTTAGGATTTTTTTAAAAAATCACTTTAGTAAATTCTTTACTTACACTACGAAGTATAACAAATACATTATGTATGGTTTAAAATATGTTTAGAAAATCAACAGAAGAGGAAAAATACATTTTATCAACATTTTAAATTCAAGTTACCTCAGTCTTCTTAGAAAATGTGATATACATATATGTTTAAATTCCCCAAACTTCTAAAATCCTACCAAACAGCAAAGTGTTATCGTAATACCTACTTTGGAATAGTATAATGAAAATGGTTAACGCTAACTATCATTTAAAAATCCATGCCAAAATTTACTTTTCTGATGTATCAAGTCAGTAACTTCCTGTCACTCAAACTATTTAAGAACTTTGTGTACCTGATGATAAAAAAATGTTTGCTTATTTAAAAGCTAGCTACTGTCCTTCATCATAAAATACCCTCGTCACATGAACACAAGATTTACCTTCAGTTCAAAACCTCGATATTGCAATGGTGCTCAGTGGCCCCGGCAGGAAGGTGATAGGGAAAGAAAGGAGCAGGGCACCCGAAGCGCTGTAACACCCACTCCAGTAACCAGAGAACCCGAGAAGGCGGAGTCTGGAAAGCGGTTATGGGGCGGGGGAGGTAGTGGCGCCCCAAAAGCCCGCTTCTTCCAGCGCCCAAACACGATCCGTCACTGGCAGGACACACGACATAGACCTCAAACCGACCAAAACCAAATCAAAAACAAAAAACAAAACATAAAACATTCAGACTAGGCAAACTCCCGAGGAGTGGGCCGCGGGATAAAAAGTTCGAACGACCAGCCTCCCTGGAGGGGCCTAAAACCTAATCCCCGAACACCAGTTTCTGCAAAGCAAGCTACGTTTGCCAAATCCCACCTGGCATTTGGTTTTCCTGGATCCCAGGCCCATTCTAACTAGATCTGCAGTAAGGAAGGGATGGAGAAGGGGGCAATGGGAGGGGGCTGGGCGAGCGCTGTTAAATTAACATTCCCTTCCCCGAGTATAAACAAACTACCTCTCTGCCGAAGTCAGGAACGCCTCCCCCGGCCCTTCGGCTCCAAGAAAACCAGAGACAGCAGAAATCCTGCTGCTCACAGCGCAACTTAAACTCTCAAGAGTCGCCTCGCTCCTCATCCGCCCTTCTCCACCCGAAATTCTGGACATGGAGAGCCCCACAGAATGGAATTTGAGGGAGCGCGGTCATGGGGACTATGGCTACCAAGGCCTCTTTCTTTGAGAACTCGACCCCGTGCCCCTGGCACCCAAACCAGAGCCCCGCTCCGCCTCCTCCACCCGCAAAGGGCATTCCCGGAGCACCCGGGACGCAGGCCGGCCTCCTCCCCAGGGCCAGAAAGAGAGGGGCAGGGAGGCAAGAAGGGGATTCTGCAGTCGCCAACGCGTCCCCAGAGGCTCACCCGCAAGATCGCGTCGGCCGGTCCCTGGGGAGGGGGCGGACTGTCCGCCTGGGGGACGTGAGGGGGCCGCAAGAAGACCAGGAGCCTACAACGGAGGGATGGGCCCAAGGCCAGGCCCAACAGGGTCAAGTGTCCCGGAGCCGTTACTCTCCCGCCCCTGTGGCGCGCTGCCCTCGGTTGCCAAGGGCTGGAGACGCGCAGGCATTACCTGTAAACGAAGCAGCCTCTCCTGTCAAGGGCGGAGTGGCGGTCAGCCCCCACGACCCACCCCCCGGCAGCGGTCCTCCCTGCGAAACCACAGCAGAGAGGTCCACACGTTGCCTGGCTGCCTCGGGCCCAATGGCCGCCCTTCCCACCTCAGCTACTGGGCGCCAACCGCCGCAGCCAGCGCCATCTTAGGATCTCATTGTGGTGGGAGAAGAGGGGCGGGGGGACTGCAGAGGGGGCAACGCTCAGGGAGACATGCGCCGTCTCCTCGGCAACGGCCGCGCGGGGGCGAGAACTCGCCGGGGCGGGAGCCGCAGTGCGATCGACGCTCTAGGCTGGAGTCACGTGACCCGCCGGAGTCTGTGGTGTCACTTCGGGCTCTTTAGCCAGCACTGGATTACGCAAACGCACAGCCAGAGACTACATGTCCCAGAATGCCAGTTCGAACTCGGGTTACAAATGCTGGCCCTCCGCGAGGTGGAGGACTACAGATCCCAGCATACTGTGCGCTTCCGGCACAGACCGCGAAAGTGGGCTGACATGCCCTCGGCCGCCGGGAAGGGAGCGGAGGCGCGCTCTGGCTTTCCGTGGGGGTGTCAGCTCCGGACCATGCCGGAAGAACAGGCTGGGGTAGCTCTTCCATTCCCTGCGCACCCACGTCCCAGTCACCAAGGCATAGAAAACAAAAGAGCCCTTATAATCTAGTCCAACCCTCTAATTTCACACGTCAGGAGATAAATCCATGGCAATCAAACAATTTGCCAAACATCATATATAGCTAGTCAGTGGAAGAATCATAAATGTTGTTAATAATTAATACCCCTTTTGATTAATGCCCTTTTTATCTTAGAAGAACCAAATGATTTTAATCAGAATTTAATATAGGTAATTTTCTCTGAATTCCCTTTTTGTTTATACTCTTACGTTAGCAGATCTATTCAGATTAATAAATTGGCAGGTCCTCCCTTAGAAATAACAACAAAAATTCGGTAAAAGTGACGATGAGAGTCTTCAATGTGTCTGGCTGAAAAGTTAAAACACCTGTCGATTTTAGTTGCGTGCAAGGGCAGTATATATTTAGACAGTTTGTAATTGTAGGATAAGATGATTTTGTTTAAAAGCAAAATAAGGGCGGGGAGGAATGAAGAATGGGCTTCTGGGTTCCACCAACAGCCAAAACAAATTGTTCTCAATTACCAACATGAATTGTTCACAAAAACAGTTAATAGAACTGAATCTCGCTACACAATTCAGATAATAAAGCTCTTCCAGCCCATTGCAATTTGCTACTGTTCCTAGGTTTAGTCGTCAGTGCAATGATCCTTGGCACTGCTATTCATTTGTAATTTTTTTTTTTTTTTACTTTCCGTGTGTCTAATATCACTAAGCACCGAGGTAACAAAAACTTGGTCACTGCCCTTGAAGAGCTCATATTTTAGTGAAGGATGGGGGGAATGAGGTGTGATGTAAAGAAATTCTGTATTCTGAGAAAAAGTGCTGTGCGAGCTCAGAGCAAAGAGTAATTAACCAGTCAGGTGTTAATTGTAGTCCAGAATGCCTTTTCCTAATTACACCACTTTAAGATCTTGGACTAGTTACTTAACTTTTCTGAGCCTCAATTGCCTCATCTGCGAAATGAAGAGGAAGAAATAATACTGCCTACTTTGAAGGGATTAAAAAAACTTTTCTTTGAGTTTATTTTACACCAGACTCAGTATTAAGCACTTCAGCTATTGTGATTTTCTTAATCCTCACAACTACCCTCAAAACGTTGGTTCTGCATCTGACCCATTTTACAAATGGAAAGTTCAATAAATCAAAGTTTTAGCAGCTCCAAGTGGTAGAGCCTAGATTTAAACTAAGGTCTGCCTGATTCCTTGGAAGGATTATTTTATTATTATATAAGAAAACACATAGAAAAAAGCACTAGCAAATGGTAAAGACCCAAAATAATTAGCTATGGTCATCATCATTTTATTTTACACATGTATATTATTATTTTTAAATGTATGTAGAAACCGTTGTCATTAAACAATTCAAATAAATAAAAAAAGCATGACTGAAATTATCGCGGCTATTCGTCATTATGTTTTTTGAATTTATGAAGCCCCAAAATGTTAATACTATTATTTGTTAAGTGGTAGGAGGAATTTGAGAAATATTGACATTAAGAAGGTCCTCATGCTCAAGAATGGGTATTATTGATCTTTGTAGGGGAAGGAGGAGAGAAAAAATAACTAAAAAACTACAAAATTATCCCTGGCTTCCAAAACTTTAACATCTAATTTAGCAAACAAATCTTATCAAAATGAATCAGTTTAGTATCAGTAATGTGTGACTATACCAAATAAATTGTATAGATAGTAAATGCTTTAGTAATTCAAAGCAAAAAAAAAGGAATCGATTGTCTCGGAAATAATGATCGCTGCAGGATGTCTATGTAGGACAAAATTGGGGCAGAAATCTGTGGCAATGTAGATAGGAAACAGAAAAGTGGTCCCTAAGAGATAAACATTGAAACTGTGTTTTAGTTTTCTACATTTAGGAAAACAACCTAACACGTGCGTTAAAGATGGGGCTGGGGAGGGGATCTAAACGGCAGAATGATGTTCAAGGAAATGGGGCACACTAGGAACACAGAAAATACATCCAGAATAAACAATGGACAACAAACAGACTGGATTGGATGAAGTAGAGGATTTATATGGGGTGAGGAATGGGGAGATGAGGTGAGGCAAGATTGATTAGCAGGTTGGGCCAGACTATAGAAAGTCTTAACTACTGATCTGAAGAGTTTGGGCTTTGTTCTGCAGATAGCATGAAACCACTTGAGATTTTGGAAGAGGTCAATGATATAATGAAATGGTTATTTTAAGACTTCAATCTAGTGGCAATGTTTCGTACAGATTAAGAAGAGGAGAAGAGAAAGGGAGGGACAAGGAGAGCAGGCTGTAACTGGCGTGAAGTTAATTAAGGACTGGCCTAAGGTACTAGCAGAACAAATAAAAGACTGGAGTTTCCATTAACATAATCTAAATCAGTTGTCATGAAGTGTGAACTACTATTTGTTTCTGTTTTTGGTATTTGGTAGGACACTGATCAGGCGGTACTTACAGTGTAACATTTTGTGCTGTATTGTTTGCCTCTTGAATATATTCTATATGTTGTTATCCACAGATGGGTTGTAAGCATGGCTATAACAGAAACCCTGTCTTTTATACTTCTAGCAAATCCCAATGCCTTGCAATTCATTTGTTTTGACGTTCATTAATTAATGTCTTTGAAACAATAGCTATCTGCAATACCTAGCTTTTACCTGCAGATGGTGCTAGAACCTAAAGGAAAAATCTTTAGTGACTAACACTACAATTA